GATGTGGGACTCGATTCCAGGTCGAGAGAGAGAGAGAGAGAGAGAGAGAGAGAGAGAGGCAGAGACACAGGCAGAGGGAGAAGCAGGCTCCTTGGATGGAGCCTGATGTGGGACTCGATTCCAGGTCTCCAGGATCACACCCTGGGCTGAAGGCGGCGCTAAACCACTGAGCCACTGGAGCTGCCCTCTAACTCTTGGTTTTGGCTCAGGTTGTGATCTCAGGGTCATGAGATCAAGCCTTGTGTCAGGCTCCTCACTCAGTGCAGTCGGCTTGAGAGATTCTCTTTACTTCCCCCTCCTCCTCTGTACCTTCTCTCTCACTTGTGTTCTTCTCTCTCTCTCTCTCTCTCTCTCTCTCTATCTACTATCTAAAATAAAGAAAAGAAAAATAATACAGAGAGATCTTGTGTTCATTTTATCCATTTACCCACATCTTGCCAACCCAATGGATATTGATCTTTGATCTTCCCCTGTTTAGGAAGGAGAGAAGGGCAGTAGGAGAAGAAAGAAACAAGACAGAAGCAGTACTAATCTTTTGTTTGTAGGAACTCTGCATTTTGGCCAGGTATCAAAGAAATCGGCTCATGTTCTCAGGGAATGTTGTCCTGCTCTTTGTGGGAACAATGAGAACTTTTGTCTGATTCTCTTTCTCCCTTTTCCTATTTTTTATCCTGGCACTTAGGAAATGTTTGTAAAATACTTTAAATCCTTCCCAATGTCAGGGCATCCCAGGTGGCTCAGCGGTTTAGCGCCGCCTTCAGCCCAGGGTGTGATACTGGAGTCCCGGGATTGAGTCCCACGTTGGGCTCCCTGCATGGAGCCTGCTTCTCCCTCTGCCTGTGTCTCTGCCTCTCTCTCTCTCTCTCTCTCTCTCTTTCTGTATCTCTCGTGAATAAATAAATAAAATCTTTAAAAAAATAAAAACTTTAAATCCTTTCCAATGTCATATAAACATGAGAAGATGTCTGGAAGGATCACCTGGGTATTGGAAGGAAAAACATCCATCTTACTGTTCTAAATATTCTAAATATCTGATTTCTAAGAAAGATGCCCCTTGTTAGCTAAACAAATAAAAAGGAAGGGATATTAATCTGAAGAGATCTAAATTGAAGCTCACCCAAGACTTTGAAGGTTATTACCATGGTCTGGATCTGGATCAGTGTTTCCTACATCAGAAAGGAGGTGCCTATGAAGGCAGAAAGAGGCATCCAAAGCCTGGGTGGGTGATTGGGCCCTTAGACAGGGGATGTTCTGTCTTCCAGCCCCAGCATTGAAAAGAGGCTCCCCAAACAAACCACAGGTCCTCAGAGTTTCAGTTTGACATTAGTGTGTTAAATGTTGACACCCAGAGAGCTCGGGCACAGGCCTGGATAATACTGTCCACATAGATGGCCCATCTAGATCTCTTGCCTCAGGGCTTCCCTGGACTCTTAAAATGTCCATTAACTTCACCTCCACCTCACTCCTATGGCCCCACTCAGGGTCGCCCTGACCTCACCAATCTCATTCTGTTCAATCCTATGGTCTATCCTCTCCTCTCATGTACCTGGGCAGCAAAGCCCTCAGCTTTGGCTTTCTGCAGTCTTAGGTCTTGTCTGCATTGAGGCTGACCAGCTCGGACAGAGTTGCTCTCCCTTGTAGGACCTTATTCAAGGCCACAGGGCTTGGTGTAGTCCTTATCTGCCACCATGTACCCATGTGTCCCAAGAAGCCAGTGGTCTTACCTATTACACTGCTGCCATCTAGCAAGGCCTGCCTGATTCTGAGCCAGAGCTAGAGAGAGTGAGAGTCTACCACCTGCACCAGCCTTACCAGCTCCCTCCCCTTGTAGTCACTTGCTCCCCTTGGCTCAGCCTCACACTCTGCAGCCATGGGGAGAAGTCATAACTGATCCTTACCTTGCAATGATGTAGGCAGAGATGGAAGGGAAAGTTTCCAGAAGAAAGGGTCAAATCACATTGGAGTGCAGGTCTCTTAACCACTGCAGTGACTCTGGCTAGAGACAGGGTGGGATCAGAGCAGGGTGGTGATGGTGACAGTGGACATGATAAGAAGCAGTTAAATTCTGGACTTTTTAAAAGATTTTATTTATTGGGACACCTGGGTGGCTCAGCAGTTGAGTGTCTGCCTTTGGCTCAGGGCATGGTTCCGGGGTCCTGGGATCAAATCCCGCACCAGGCTTCCTGCATGGAGCCTGCTTCTTCCTCTGCCTGTGTCTCTGCCTCACTCTCTTTCTGTGTCTTCCGTGAATAAATAAATAAAATCTTTAAAAAAAATAAAAGATTTTATTTATTTATTTATTTATTTATTTATTTATTTATTTAGAGAGCTTGTTAGTGGGCAGAGGGGCAGAGGGAGAGGGAGAGAGAGAACCTTAAGCAGACTGCAGTGGGTGCAAACCCCTTCATGGGGCTCAATCCCATGACCCTGAGGTCACAACCTGAGCCAAAAGCAAGAGTCAGATGCCCAACCGACTGAGCCACCCAGGAGCCGCCGTGTGTGTTTTTAAAGTAGAGCCAATAGGATCTCCATCGATTGCATATGGAATGTGAAAGACAGCAGGAGTTCAATATGACCTGTTGTCCCAAGCCACAGGTCTTGTCTCATTTTAAATCTTACTCATCTGACACTCTGATGTTCTGAATGTTCTCAGACATTGATGCACCCGTTTGTTTCTGAGTATTGTTTGCTCATTCCAGACTTTGCAATGATCTTATCATCTCCAGCTCTCTCTCTGCTTGCCCCTCAGGTAATGTTTTTATTCTCACAGAAGTGACTTTTCATGTCACAGTGTGGCAGTGAAAACTGTTCAACATCTCTTTGAAATACACCACCAAGGACTGGTGGCCTTCTTTGCCACCTGTCCACCTTACAACTTTTGCAGGGAGAGTGATAGGACGTCCATCACCTGGAGGTCTTTATTCTGTGACCATCTCAGCGAGTGATAGTCACAGTTATTGAGATTTCATTTCCCTGTCTATAAAAACAGGGTGATTCAGCTTGAGGTGAGAACTAACCAGTGAAGATAATGGATATATTTAAGCATTTCCTATGTTTCAAGCTCTTTTGATATTTAAAAATTAAAATAAAATTGTATTTTATATTTATAATTTCTATATAAGCCCTATATTAAGTTCTTTTTACATCATTATCTCATTTGATCCTTAATAAGGTAGGTGCCATTATTACTTCCATTTCACAGATAAAGAAATGGGCTTTACTAGGGTTAAGTGAATTGTTCAAGGTCACACCAAGCTGGCACATGGTGGAGCTGGCATTCCAGCCCAGCTCTGTTGGATGCAAGACCCCGCTGTTAACCACTTTGCTCATGTTTCTTCCAGTGTTACTGCATATCACCTGTATGTGCCTGTTGTGTGCAGATTCCCAGATCTCACTCTCACACCCTCTGACTCAGACTCTGAGGCTGGGCTGGGAAATCTGAAGTTAATAGCAGCTCTAGGTGATTGATGGCCGAAAGCAGCCTAAATTTGGCAATCACTGTATCTTCTTATATTGCCTCTGAGTGATTGTAACACGTTCCACTTGTGTGTATATGTTGTCCAGACAATGCTGCTAAGCCAAGGTTATGTGTAGGAATCTAAATTCTAGGATTATGTGAATACAAACAAGCAGCTGATAGTTCTAACAGGGCAACAACTGTCTGTACTTTCATGTCCATGAATGCATCATTGTAATAAACCATGTATTGCTCAGAATTCATTTGTAGACCATATCCAGACCAGTTCATTTAAGCACAAAGGGATATTTCCTGGAAAAATAGGATAGTAAACCATCGTGGTATCTGGGAAGGCTGAAATATATAATAGTTGGATTGAACATCTAAAAGTGACTCCCCAGATCACAAGGTAAGCAGCCTCAGAAGCTATTGCTCTGATCAGGAGGCTGCTTGAAAAGTGGCATGAAGAGAGTAGAGGATTAAGATGGGGCCCGGGGTTTAGGAAGTGAGCAGAAGTGAAGTCCATGAGAGTGATCAGCAAGGAATACCTGGGGGAACTCGAACACAGAAACAGAAACCAGGGAAGTCAGGAGTTCCAAAACCAAGAGTGGCCAACATTATAAAATACAGTAAGAGGGCCAGAGGAGGGGGAGCTGGCAGGCAGTGAGTCTAACAAGTATTGTTGACCTTGATGACCTGGTGACCTTTGCTAGATCAGTTAGTGAGTTTTACCAGCAGTTTCAGGGGAATGGTAAGGAAAGAAATCAGATGGGTGGGATAAAAAAAATTAATAGAAAATGAGCAAATGGAAACAGCACATGCAGCATGAACAATGTTTTGAAAGGTAAGTTGAAATGGAAAAGAGATAAGATTGTATGTCTGGAGATGGTCTTGGAGTGTAGGGTTTTTTTATTTCCTGTGGTTTTGTTTGTTTTTAGGTCAAGAGAAACTTGAGCATAGTGATAACAGAGCCATTTGAAAGATAAATTACTTGATAGGCCAGTGTTCTGAAGATCATAGAGGGAAGGGGTCAAGGCCTAGATGGAGGATTGGCCTGGAGTACATCTTATGGCCAGGGGAAAGGAGGTGATGAAAAAAAAAAAAAAAGAAAGGAGGTGATGACAGGTATGGGTCCAGGTGCTTTCCCAGCATGAGGTGGGTGTGGAAGCCATAGTCATGGCCATAATTATGGTCCTCATTTTCTTCTCAGAGCAGATGAGATCACCTGCTGGGAAGGAAGGAACCAAATATTGAGTGTGGAGCTTGGAGGAGTTACAGGTTTAGAATAGCAGCTGCTAAGGACAAATGAAGGCTTGTCAGTTAAGGATATTGCCAGCCCAGATAAAACTGAGAATTGTGAATTCAAAGTGGAGCAGCCTGCCAAAATAGTGTATGATTTAATATTTTACATCCTTGGACCAGGAGTGGAGAGGCAACTCATGGGACTACTCCAAGGATAATGTTGATTTCCAGTTCAGGATGATGCTGGACTCCATGCCTCAGATCTCTTACCTAAATGTGCTGTTTCCTGTTTGGGTGTCAGGTACCTCAGTCAGGAACCCTGAAGCTGTCCCACTTACAGGAAGGAACATACACCTTTCAGCTCACTGTAATGGACACTGCTGGGCAGAGAAGCTCCGACAACGTCTCAGTGACGGTGCTTCCCATGACGTTCTCCACAGGAGGTGAGAGGAAAGTCCTTCCCTTGCATTCATGGTGGCTGACAGAAACCAGCTAGTTACAGAAGGATTGGCATTTAATATTCTGACTGCACTCCTTGGGCTCTTCCATTCTTTTTGTTTTTAAGTAGGCTCCATGCCCAGCATGGAGCTCAACACTGGGCTTGAACTCACACACCGAGAGCAAGACCTGAGCTAAGATCAAGAGTCGGTCACTTAAACAACTGAGCCACCCAAGCGCCCCTCTTTCTTTCTGTTTTTGGTCATGGTTGAATAAGAGTCTTTTCTAAAAATATGAAAATATAGGCTCCATTACACTTTGGATTTAGTGGCACTGCTGAATTGGGATGGAGGAGAGCTCCAGGGGTTGAGATAATAGATTATGAGATAATAGGACCCTACAGACTCTTTATCTTTCCTGACTGGCTTTCATAAAAGACAATCATAGTTTTTCTGGGAGAGGCTCTTGTTTAAAGATAGGTGGTTTATTTGATTTGTATGTTCAAAGAAGGCAGCTAAAGGAGCATATTTAAAACAAATTAAATTTAAAATTTTAAATAATCCTTTTAAATTGTGTGTGTGTCAATTTAAAAGGGCTATTTAGGGATGCCTGGGTGGCTTAGCAGTTGAGCACCTGTCTTTGGCTCAGGGCATGATCCTGGAGTCCCGGGATCAAGTCCCACATCAGGCTCCACACAGGGAGCTCCATGCAGGGCTCCCTCTGCCTGTGTCTCTGCCTCTCTCTGTGTGTGTGTCTCATGAATAAATAAGTAAAATCTTTAACAAAAATAAAATAAAAGGGCTATTTAAAACTTTTCGTGGACACATTGTACAGATACCCTAATAATATAGCTTTATATATTTGTGATGGTTCTCACATTCTGTTGCGCAATATAAACTCACTCTTCTCACTCATCTAAATTTCTTAATTTCCCAAACATCTACATTTCTAAGATTAGCTCATCAAGTTTAAGAAATTAGATGGATAGATAGATAGATACAACTTAAGAGCACTAAAGATATAGAGATATTACAGAGGGAAACCCCCACAGTTACTTCTGGAGAAGTGCAGAGGTAAGTGTGTCTAAGGGTCTTGTCATTGGTCTGCAGATACTCTCAGTGTCTGCAGGAACACAGAATGCCCAGGAGCTGTGCCAGGCACTGGGCATACAGCAGTGTGCTCCGTAGACCTGGCCCCGTCCCCATCCCCATGTAGCGAGGCTTCACAGTTGCTAGCCATGGCTCCAGTAAACCCACAGCATGTCTTTGCCATCCCTGACTACTCAGTAATTAGATGGTAATTATACAACATTTGGAAAAATAAGGGTAAAAAAGACTGGAAATGAGTATATATCACTGATCTTGTCTTCTATCAAGCATAGGTCAGTATGCATATTGGAAAGGAAGCAAAATTTTAGAATGCTGAGAACTTGGCAACTTTGATAATTTGCCTTCCATAGGGATACAGAACATAAGCAGCTTCAGAATCCGGCTGGCTGACTCCCCATCCAGCCAAGGTTCCTTTTTACTGTGAGGAAGGAGGGTGACTGCCCACCGGACTAGCTGGCACCCAGCTCCTGCCCATTGCCATCCTCTGAAGCAGTGATGGCAAGTAAGAAGAGCTGTCCCAGTCAGGAATCCAATGTAGCCCAGATTCCAGCAGGGCCACTGATTTATTGTAGCTACAAAGGAGAGCCAGACAGTTACTCAGAACATTTTTGAGGGGTGCCTGTCTGGCTCAGTTGGAAGAGTGTGCAACTCTTGATCTCGGGGTCATGGGTTTGAGCCCCACATCAAGAGTAGAGATTACTAAAAATTAAACTTTTAAAAAAGAAAACATTTTTGAGTACCTTGGCATGCTAGACATGCAGCAGGGCCATTGGAAACATGGCATCAGCTCCAGCCACTCACTCTCTGTAGAGGACCGTTGAGCCCAGAGGGCTGTCCTTCCGGGATCAAGAGCTCAACTTGGCAGGAATTGAGTCCAGTACTGATTCTTGGAGGAAAGAACCCTGCCATCCCTACAGAAGTTGGAAAAAGATTGCTTCTGGGAGGGAGAAAGGGATATAAGTGCAGGTACAAGCCAATGGCTAACACTGCACCAGCCTGGCATTTGCCTGGTTTATTGACTCAGCCCAATTTTCCAGGGCTCCAAACGTAAATTGGCAGTTGTACATTTCTGGCCTTTCTCCAAGATGATAATAAAATGTATTTGAAGTGGCAGAAAGTTGTGTGAATCACTTTTGATTACTGAAAGTCCACTTGGATATAGGTCTTATGTATGTAACTTTATACAGAAGATAAAAAAGAATGGTTGTATCATTAACTAGTATCTGGACTCACTCTCTGGCTAGATTGGAATAACATACTATGAATAAAAGTAATAAAACACCACATAGAGACAATTGAAAACCGGAAGTGGGGATAGAAAAGTGTTTCTCTCCCCTGTGTTACATATGGACTGGTCTTACTGTTCATAACCTAGCTGTAATGGTAGCCAAGGGTGCATGTTCTGGGGGAACCAGACAAGCATGTACCCCTGCTTCTGTGATAATAATTTGGTTGAGCTTTGAGTATAGAGGTTGCATGTTTTCAAACTTTGGGAAAGATAATCTATTCAAATGCCAAGCCAATAAACACTTCTAACATAATCTAGATTAGTGGTCTCCAAAGAGGATCTCCCAGACACAGACATTTTTAGGATGGAAAAGAAGACACCTGAACTTATATTTTTAGTAATTTCTAATATTCTTTGAGTTTTTAGTATATTTTATAACATGTTTAATATGTTACTGTACTAGTATGTGCATATTATCTATAGGTGGAGATGGATGTTTACCACACTATATGTATAGTATACCACACTATATGTATTGATCAGATGCACAAAAAGATTTAGAGACCACTAATCTAGAAGTAAATGGATAAGTTACAAATATCAGTCTATCTCCCAAACTACCAAGGAATGAGTAAAACTTTGAGATATTTAGGATTTTCATGTCATGGACTTAAAAATGTAAGCGGTAGCTATATTCTGCTTGGTATTCGGGGTAACTCAGTTCCTCTTCCCTTTTTATCTGAGCTCCTTTCCTGGAAATGAAGCAAATTCTCCTTTGTAGGCCCAAATTCTCAGTCATAACTGAGACTCTCTACTTCGTCTCAGGAGCTTCTACCATCATTTCTTCTCTTCTTCCTCCTGGATCAAGATATTTTCAAACTGCCTTGTACCTAGAGAGACTCCTTTCCCAGGCCCTAATTTAACTGCTTTCCAATGGAATATGCATCCAAGATTTCATTTGGGCTTGTATACTATGCTCAACCATCTGTTTCAGTAGAACATCATCATCTACTGCTCTCCCATGTCCTGAGAGAATTGTCTAGTTCCTTCTGTCCCTGAAAAATTATAGAGCTCCATAAGAGCTACTTCAAGTCTGACACCTTTACTCTGCATTAAGCAGTGTCAAAGTCTCCCAGTTATTGTATAGCTGAGTCTGGTAAACTTGGCCTAATCCAGAGTTGGGGAATGCCTTTCAAGAAAATACATGTAGCTCCTATGAATTACACTGTAGATTAAAAACTCAAACCAGCTCCAAAAGGGAGACAATTTAATTATTTGAAGAAAATAAATTCATACCAGCTAGTAGCTAAAGATTCTGTTTATTCTTTGTAGCACCAGGAGTGTATGGTAGTCAACAAATAGGGCTCAATAGTAGAAAGTTAATCTCAGTAAAAATTATTACTTAGGAAACAAGAATGTAAGACATAGCATTCTTGTAACATGTAGAAAATAGTTCTCTAATAAAACATGGCCAGCCAGCCAAGTTCTGTGCAGGGGTGTAAGAGTGTTAGGCAGCCTGTGGAGCTGACCGGAAGGAGATATTTAGGATTTTCATGTCATGGACTAAAAATGTGAGCAGTAGCTATATCCTGCTTCGTCTTCAGGGTAACCCAGTTCCCCTTCCCTTCTTCTTTGAGCTCCTTTCCTGGAACTGAAGCAACTTCTTTGAGCTAAAGAAAGAAATGCAGAGTGAGATCTCTGGAGGAGCAAACCCAGGGCTGGCTGGAGAAGACTAGAGCTGCGGTTTCTCTGTTTCCACCTCTTAGGCAGTGTTGGCTTGGAGAATGGCCCTGAGACAAAGAGCCCATGGTGATGCCTCAGAATCAAGACACAAGGTCAAGGAGACACCTTTAGCTTTCTAGGAACCTGTTGCTCCAGCTCACACTGTTGGGTCTTTCCCAATTATCCTCATCTCTATACCCCAAAGCATTTCATCCTACATTTAGTCTTTGTTAATCACAACATGGTGAAGTGTTGACTTTCCCACACTCCTGTAACTTGAGACTGTTTATCAACAGGATGCTTGAGTGTTTGCTCCCGCTACCACTTCTTTTGTGACGATGGCTGTTGCATTGACATTACACTGGCTTGCGATGGAGTGCGGCAGTGTCCTGATGGGTCTGATGAAGCTTTCTGTCAAAACTGTGAGTCTGCTGCATGATCTTTTCAGGCAAGGAGGGAGAAGGGGTATCTGTATTCTCAAAATAATAAAATACAAACTCAGTATTGCTCTTTTTCTACCCAGTTTCAGGTATAACTTCATCTGAATAAGCTATGCCTTATATTAAATAAGCATTTAATTTGAGTCTCTAATCTCAGTTATAAACATAAGACTTTTTATATTGCTTACATTTTTTTGAAAATTGCTTTCAGTTTTCCAGGAGATTCTTCCCTAAAAATGCTTTGTAGGATACAGTTTTTAAAAAAAATTAAAATGAGGGACCCCTAGGTTACTCAGTGGTTGAGCGTCTGCCTTCGGCTCAAGTTGTGATCCTGGTGTTCTGGGATCAAGTCCCGTCTCCCCCCCACCCTCCCTACATCAGGCTCCCAGCAGGGAGCCTGCTTCTCCCTCTGACTGTCTCTGCCTCTCACTCTGTCTCTCATGAATAAATAAATAAAATCTTTTAAAAATAAATTAAAAATTAAATTAAAAAACCAAAATGAGTTAAGATTCTGTTTTGATAAGTTTTTTAGAAAATTTGTGACATTGTAGGGTGTGGCTAAGTCAGGACTATAAACCGGTCTTACAATATCGTCTACATACAACAAAAGGCCACTGCAAGAAAGGAAAAAAATTTCAGGAAGTGTTAATGAAGGTGTTGGTTTGAAGAAGGATGGAGAATCTCAAAACCTTGGGTTTAAGCTTTGTTTTTGTCGATTTATATGTGACATTTAGAAAGTCAAGTATTGGGAGAAGAGAAAACAGTTTACTCATTTGAAGAGAGAGAAGTTTTTTATGGGGCTCTGACATGTCTTAGATGGTTATTATTTCCAAATATCCATGACTTTAAATCTACTGCAGGGATCCCTGGGTGGCGCAGCAGTTTAGCGCCTGCCTTTGGCCCAGGGCGCGATCCTGGATACCCGGGATCAAATCCCACGTCGGGCTCCCGGTGCATGGAGCCTGCTTCTCCATCTGCCTATGTCTCTGCCTCTCTCTCTCTCTCTCTATGACTATCATAAATAAATAAAAATTAAAAAAATAAAATAAATCTACTGCAAATTTAATGTTGTTTTTAAGATTTATTTATTTATTTATTTATTTGAAAGGGAGAGCCAAAGAGAAAGTTGGGGGAGGGGCAGAGGAAAAGAATCCTCAAGCAGACTCCCCACTGAGCTCAGAGTCTGACATGGGTTCAATCCCAGTACCCTGAGATCATGACCTGAGCTGAAATCAAGGGTCAGCTATTTAACTGACTTAGCCACCCAGGCACCCCCTCAAATTTAGTGGTTTTAATTACAGTTTAGAAAAGAAACCCAACAACTAACAGCAGCTTTTCCATGCTCCAGTGAGCCTTGACCAGAAGACGGTGACCCACACAGCAACTCTCCAGCCTAGAACCACAGGACCAAGCAAAGATGCAGCAGGAGGTTTCTTCTTGGAAAAGTCTCAGAAAGTCACTGTTCAAAACCAGCCACCAGCTGGTTTATCAAACGCAGAGAAGAGGAATCATTCCATGTTTTGGGGACCAGAGAGTCAAACTGATCCTATGATGCCAGGTAAGGCTCTGAGTGGGTACTCCACAAACAGCCTCATTGTCTACAGGGACCCTTGGCTTCAAAATTCAGGTTATATTTGAAGAGTGTTAAGGAAATACAAGAAAGAAGAGAGTTAAAATGAACAATTTGGCCTAAAAGGAAAAAAAAATCTGACATTTGCACTGATTATTTATAGTAAGAAACACCTAATAAGTACACTCATACATACTCCAGAGATACCAGTACCTTTATTAGTAAGTTAGAATTAGGAAATTTCAACATGTGTATTAAGGAAACAAATGCCCTAAGTGTTAAATTTTAGGTTACTTTGGGGAACCCTGGGTGGCTCGGCGGTTTAGTGCCTCCCTTTGGCCCAGGGTGTGATCCTGGAGTCCCAGGATCAAGTCCCACATCAGGCTCCCTGAATGGAGCCTGCTTCTCCCTCTGCCTGTGCCTCTAATTTTTTTTAGGTTATTTTGAGATGAAGCAGCATAACCCCTATGTTTTCATATACATCCTCTTCACACTAAGCAAGTAAATATGAAGAAAATATGTGTCACATGGAAATGGTTGTATGTGCCATAATTTAGTGTTATGCTCCCTATTTAACTAAATCTGATTTTTTGGTTTTTTCTAGTAAGGCTAATAAGAAATTTAAATCCATTTACACTGCTGAAGCATTAGCATTCTATCATCTTAAATTTATTTTTGCCCATTTTTTAAAAAGATTTTATTTTATTTTATTTTTTAAGATTTTTTAAATTTATTCACGAGAGACACAGAGAGAGAGAGAGGTGGAGACACAGGCAGAGGGAGAAACAGGCTCCTTCCGGGAGCCGGATGTGCATACTTGATCCAGGGACCCAGAGACCATGCTCTGAGCCAGAAGCAGGCACTCAAACACCAAGCCACCCATGCGTCCCTAATTTTGTGCATTTGTATTTGTTGATGTATTTGTATTTGTTGTCATGTCATCAACAAATACAAAACAAATACAGAATATCACATTTCTGTATGCTTTTGTAAATGTCTTTTCAGTGCTTGGACTCTGACTACATTATATGGAAGCAATCTATCACTATTTTCATACCTTCTTGATGAAAATTTTTTGTTCATTGCAGAAAATTCAAATAATATAAAAGGAAAATGACTTAAAACATCACCCTTTACCGAAAATAACTTTTAATATTTTGGCATATTTCTTTCCAATCTTTTGTTTATCTACTGTTTAGATTTTAAGAGCCTCTATACAGATGCATCCACAAAATATTCAGTGAAGGGCTTTTCGTTCAGACAGTTTAGATTTAGGTGCTTTCAGACCCTGGCTTAGGTCTCCTCTGTTAGCACTGCCACTTGATGGGCAAGGCAGTCAGTCCCTCTAAGCCTTGGGATCTGTTTCAGTCTGTTTTCTCCAAAGGGGAGGGATGAATGGAGAAGAGAGCCACCTGAGGCCAGATTCAGGGGAGACCAGGTGTTCTGGGCAGGAGTGCAGAAGGGTTGGAGAACCAGTGGACAGGACAGTGTTCCCAGAGGCCAGGACAGATGGGCTCTCACTGTGTCTCTGTGGTAGAGAGGCTCACGAGAGCGAGGATGGATTAGCTGAGGGCAGAGTGGAGACCAAAGCCGCCTCTAGTTTTGGTTCTGGCTTTAGAACCTAAAGCAAGCTGCTTCATACTCTGTAACTATTTCCTCACCAGTTGGTAAGGGATTTCAACCAGATGACCTGTAAGCCCCATGTAGCCCTGAGGGTGCTTCAGGGATGACCATAGCCTGAGGTTTACGCACTCCTCCGCCTGCTCTTATGCATCAGAAAGACTGGTCTCTTCGTGATCCAGGTGCAGGCTCCGGGGCAGTGAGAACTCCGCTCAGAATTCCTTTGAAAATAATGCACCACCACTTGATGGGAGCTGGCACTCAAATTAAAATGCATTTCCAATCTCTGCTTTGTCCTTTTTGATAATAAACCTCTGACTTTGGCTATAAAGATAAAAGGAATAGAGTTTCACAGGTGCAGAGATTAAATGTCCTGTTATTATTTATAATATATATGTGTGTGTGTTCTTTTTCCTCATTAATACATATTTACTTTAGAAAATTTGAAAAATATAAAGAAAAAATTAAAACCATCTAGCAAAACTCATCATTGATATTTTGTTGCATTTTTTTCTGGTCACTTTTATTTGTACACGTACATACACATATTTATTCCCTTTTTTTAGAGAATATACAGTGTTATGTTTTTAGGTGTACAATATAATGACTTAACAATTCTACACATTACTCAGTGCTCATCATGATAAGTGCACTCTTAATCCCCTTCACCTATTTCATCCATCCCCCACCTATCTCCCATCTGGCAACCACCAGTTTGTTCTCTGTATTTAAGAGCCCATTTTTTATTTCTTTTTTTTATAAAGAATTAGTTAATTAATTAATTAATTAATTAATTAATTTACTTCAGAGAGGGCACACAAGCAGGGGGAGCAGCAGAGGGAGAAGCAGACTTCCCATTGAGGAAGGAACCCAATGCAGAACTCGATCCCAGGACTCTGGGATCATGACCTGAGCCGAAGGCAGATACTTAACTAATTGAGCCACCAAAGCACCCCATTTGTTTTGTGTCTTAATTTCCACATATGAGGGAAATCTATGGTATTTATTTTTCTCTGTCCGACTTATTTCACTTAGCATTATACCCTCTAGGTCCATCCATGTTGTTGCAATGGCAAGGTTTCATTCTTTTTATGGCCAAGTAATATTCCATTGTGTATATATGTATACCACGCTTCTATCCGTTCATCTATGGAGGGACATTTGGATTGCTTCCATATCATTGCTGCCATAAATAATCCAGCTAAACAATGGGGCATGTGTATCTTTTTGAATTAGTGTTTTGTTTTTTTTGGGTAAATAGCTAATAATGGACTTATTGGATCATATGGTAATTCTATTTTTATTTTTTTGAGGAACCTCCATGTTGTTTTCCACAGTGACTTTACCATTATGGTTCTGATTTACATTTCCCCAATGATTAGTGATATTGAGCATTTTTTCATGTGTCTGTTGACCATTTGTATATCTTCTTTGGAAAAATGTCTATTCAGGTCTTCTGCCCATTTTACTTTTTTTATATTTTTAAGATTTTATTTATTTATTTGAGAGAGAGAGGGAGAACAGGGGGAGAGGTAGAGGGAGATGGACAAGCAGACTCTGTGCTAAGCACAGAGCACGCAATCCCACAACCCTGAGATCATGACCTCAGCCGAAATCAAGAGTCACTTAACAGACTGAGCCACACAGGTGCCCCTTCTGCCCACTTCTAATCAGATTATTATTTTTTTTTTGTGGGGTTTTTATGCTGTAAGGTTTGTTAAGTTCTTTATATATTTTGGATGTTAACCCATTACTGGATATATCATTTGCAAACATCTCTCCTCTTCAGTAGGTTGCCTTGTTGTTTTGTTGATGGTTTCATTTGCTGTGCCAAAGCTTTTTATTTTGGTGTCATCCCAATACTTTAATTTTGTTTTTGTTTCCCTTGCCTGAGGAGACAGATCTAGAAAAATGTTTCTACAGCTGATGTTAAAGAAATTACTGCCTAAGTTTTCTTCTAGGAATTGTTTCAGATCTCACATTATTTAGGTCCTTAATCCATTTTGAGTTTATTTTTGTGCATGGTGTAAGAGAGTGGTCCAGTTTCATTCTTTTGCATGTGGATGTCTAGTTTTCCCAACACCATTTATTGAAAAGACTGTCCTTTCCCCATTGTATTTCTTGCTTCCTTTGACTGTATAGTTGTGTGTTTAATTTTTTATTTTGATCCTGTTCCGTTAACCTATGTGTCCATACTGTGTTGATTACTTCAGCTTTGTAGTGTATCTTAAAATCTGAGATTGTGATACTTCCAGCTTTGTTCTTCTTACTCAAGATTGCTTTGGCTATTTGGGATCTTTGTCTATATGGTTCCATATACATTTTAGGATTATTTGTTCTAGTTTTGTGAAAAATGGTATTTTGATAGGGATTACATTAAATCTATGGATTACTTTAGGTATTATAAACATTCTAACAATATGTGTTCTTCCAATCCGTGAGTATGGTATATTTTTCCATTTGTTTGTGTCAGTTTCAGTTTCTTTCATTAGTATTTTATAGTTTTCAGAGTACAAGTCTTTCACCTCCTGGATTAAGTTTATTCCTAGATATCTTATTCTCTTTGGTACAATTGTAAATGGGTTTTTTTCTTAATTTCTCTTTCCGCTACTTCATTTTTAGTGCATAGAAATGTAACAGATTTCTGTATACTAATTTTTGTATCTTGAAACTTTACTGAATTCATTTATCAGCTCTAGTAGTTTTTTGGACATTTTTTCACTTTTTTTAAAAATATTTTGTTTATTTATTCATGAGAGACACACAGAGAGAGGCAGAGATATAGGCAGAGGGAGAAGCAGGCTCCCTGTGGGGAGCCCGATGCAGGACTCGATCCCAGGATCCCAGGATCACAACCTGAGCCAAAGGCAGACACTCAGTCACTGAGCCAACGAGGTACCCTGACATTTATTCACTTTTAACAAAATTCACAACACATTATGGTTATGAAACTTTTCTTTTTCTCAGGAGTATATTCATATGTTATTACATATCCATCAAAAACAAGAACTTTTTTAAGAAACAAAGCAAAAAAGGAAATAACCAATTAAACAAAAAAATCCAGACTCACAAATACAGAGAACAAACTGATGGTTGCTGGAGGGGAGGTGGGTAAAAAGAAAACAAAACACAATCTTTGGAAGTCCAGGGTGGAAAAGGTGGGAAGAAAAGGCCAAAACTTTGAAACTGTTCAAAAGGGCCCTTACGGGGCACAATTTGTGTAGACAGCAACCACCCCCTCCTTCCCCATCCCAAAGACCACCACACTCATGTCCCCAAGCCTCCAATTTCTTATGAGTTAAATTATGCTCCACCCAGCATAACATAAATAGATTTTAAAATGCACTACTCTTTGTGACCTATGCCTG